TTAAAGGCATAGAAAGGTGGCTGCTGCTGAGTATGAACGCTAAGATACAAGTATAGACAAAGCCCCACTTGAAGAACAATGCATAGCTAAGCATAATTAGCGGGTACAGGACGGACCAAAACATGGCATGGTGGACTAATTTTGACTGCGGCTGAGTTGCTGTTGCACGCTGGTTGCGGCAGCTGTGCATGAACTGACACGCTTGCCCGTGGCTCAGTGCTGTTAGAGCAAATGCAGGACTGGGTCAGGACTTGCCCTGTAGCAGTGAATACTAAGGCTCCGCCTGCTAAGCTGATTCTTGTGGCAAACACTGTGGCAGTGTACTGAGGTGGTGTGCTTAAAGGCACTCGCTCCACATACTCCATATACACACACTAGGGGCACAAATCTTTGATCTCATGATAATTCAAGATACGATTCTTTAGCAATTTAGAACATGATTGAAAGCATCACGAAATTTCTAATTTTACCATCATTTGATTAGATTATGCTTCTTTATGAAGCTATTCAATTCATCAAGTAATCTCTTGATTCAATTCACTTACGATTCTTTAGGATAGTATTCAATGAATCATGAAATTTTACCATGATGTGTTTTAGTTATGATTCTTTAGGACACCATTCAAGCATCATGAAATATCAGATTTCATCACAATTCAATTTGATCATGATTTTTTGGATCTATTCAATGCATTGCAAATATTACCACAATTCAAATGGATTAAGATTCTTTAAGAAATAACTCAATGCATCATGGAATCTCAAATTTTTCCACAGTTCAATCAGTTACGTTCTTTAAGAAATGATTCGGTGTGTCATTCAATCTCAGCTTTCATCTTTCATCTTCATCTTCAGTTCAAATACAACTCTTTAGGTCATGAATCAGTGCGTCACAGAAATTTCATCATTATTCAATTACGATTCTTTAGGAAACAATTCAGTGCATCACAAAATATACAATTTTTATATAATTCTTTATAAAGTGATTCAATACATTCAATTCGATTACAGTTCTTTAGAAAACTATTCAATACATCATGAAATCTCAATTTTCACTACTATTTGATTTGAATATGAATCTCTACAATATGATTTAATACATCATAAAATCCCACATTTCACCACAATTTGATTTGATGTAGTTATTCTTAAAAAAAATAATCTGAACAGATAAGGAGAAAGAGACAGTTTAAGTTAAATTTTTTATACCTTTGCATTTGTAAATAGCCTGAACATTTTATTTTGATTAAAAACTGAGAGCATACTTTATTGAATGCTGTTATAATCACTTATTATCCACTATGACATTCCTACACATATGCAAAAATGGACACGCACACATCCGGGAACACATCCATCTGGAGGCATGCACACGAAACACATTTAAATGGAACCACACACTCATGCACCCCAGTGTTGTGTAATGCACTGTGACAAATCAGGCACTTTGACCCACTGCCAGGAAGACAAGTTGAAAGATCAAGGGGTCAGTCCCAAGTGGCCTATTCTCTTCAGTGGAATTCAGAGACCCTTTAAAGCTCCCACTTACTCCTCCGAAATACCTGTGACAAAGCCCTTTCTGTTACTTAAGCACCACCCGCAACAGAGGCAGACCAATACTCAACGTCCAGTCCCAGGCTATACAAGTAAAGCGCGCACCAAACCAACTCCAGATGAACAGTACAGTCCTACTGTACAGTAACAAGGAGCTGATTGGATATGGTCTGTTATGACATTAAGTTATTTAATTAGCTTATTTTTACCAGTTGTTTGATGTTCCTACTTGAACAGATTTTTTTTTGATTGAATTAAAACAAAATACTATGCAGGCCACTGGATTTCCTCCAAACAAAACTTATGGACCACACACAGCCATTCTAGAACAGCAAAAGGCCTTCACTACACTGTTGCCACAGTGTTGGAAGCACATAATTGTCTACAATGACTTTCTATACTGTTGCATTAACATTACCCTTCACTAGAACTAAGGAGCCTAGCTCAAACCCTGAAAAACAGCCCCGGACCATTATCCCTCCTCCACCAACCTTTACTGTTGGCACTGTGGTGTCCTCCTGGCATCTACCAAACCCAGATTTGACCATCAGGGTGCCAGGGTGAAGCATGATTAATCACTCCAGTGAACATGTTTCTTGTGCTCCACAGTCCAGTGGCGTGCTTTATACCTTTCCAGCCGACGCTTGGCATTGCACATAGTGATCTTAGGCTTGTGTAACCGCATGGTTATGTGCTTGATTTTATACACCTGTTAGCAATGGGTGTGGCTGAAACACCTAAACGCAATAATTTAGAGGGTATGTGTCCCCATATTTTTGGCCATCATGTGTATAATGTCAAATATCATTATATTATTTTCTATTAATATAATTTTATAGTATTGCCCAACCTTAATGCTCTGTCAAAGTATCAAAATATTTATCTGCTCCCAATTATGATGCTAATCCATTCATTTCCCTTCTGGAAGAAACAAGAAACAACATCTGAAGGGCAACTAAGGCCATGATGGGCTTAGCATGATTGAAATCACATGCAGTACGAAGCCTGTGTGTCTCCTCATCAGTTGCTGGACTGAATTCCACAACCCTGATCTGAGATCAGCTCTCATGCGCGTGTGAACACGTTCTCATGCGCTTCAGAGCCCAGCGCGGTACCGTAAACACAGGCCCGACCACAGCAAAGCAGCAGATGAGAAGCAGGGCACCCGACCAGCTGCATGCATCTGCAAGCAGGTTGGATCAAAGCAGCGAGGGTTATTTAGAACTGCTAGATTTGAGCCAAATATAGAGACTCATGGATTTTGCTCTCAAATCAGAAATGTGATTACGTTAAAGTGCTCTTGCAAATGTCTGAGCTTACATGTTAAATTGTCCTCGCATGGAATCATAAAGTGACGCTCACATAGGCGACAGTACACCAGAAAAACACAACCAGATGTCAATGGAGTTGGCCCATCAACCCTAGCAGTAGTAGAAAGAAACTCTGTAGAAATCTGAAAAAGTTTATTTTTTTTACCAAAAGCATTTTGTCACCATTAGCAAAGTAAATGTTCTTTGGAGATTTCCTAAAGAACCCTTCAATAAATTATTCTTTAAAGAACCATTTTTTGTGATTAAAATGTGAGCGTGAAGAACTTTTCCAAGATTAAAGCATCTCTAAAGCATCTCACATATTGTAAATGCTCTATACTAATAAAAAAGTTTTCCTAGAACCATATATCCAAGACAAGAACCCTTTAGAACCAGCATGAACTCAGCAAAGGCTATGAAACTGGTTACCATTTTGCTATGTAAAAACAAACAGCCAAATTGAACTAAATTTGCAATAACCCTCTGGAGTCCACAAACTCCCCATATGCATAAAATTTGATATTTCTATATATGTTTCTCTATCTTTACAATAATACAGCACAAAACATTTCCTGAATCTGAACCTGAATCTGAGTCGCCCTTTCAATTCCATCTTATCGCAAGATCATACATGACTCACATCCGGAGTTATTAGGCAAGATGAGAGGTGGAGAAAGATGTCATCTGCCTCTCACCATGTGTACCTGGTGGATTTGTGTGTTCATCTACATTTTGTTTGAAACTGACCAATGAACAAGATACACAAGAATTAAGATGATATGAAAAAACTGAGAAGGCCCTTGGACGCCAGGGGGTTAACTCACATATTGAATATGTTTTATTAAAATGTGAGAACTATGTATGCATTCTCTTATAGACATCATCTGTTGATGAAAGCTTGTAATATCTCATGATCAGCATTAGACATACTGCACACTCTTCCGTTAACTCTGAAAAACGCAGTGCTGAATAAAAAGGACTGGTGATTCAGCCTGGATTGTGGAAGTACTACACCTCACCCCACCCTGCACATTGTCATGATTACAATTGTTTTGCATGAAGGGGAATTCCAATGATTTGCTCCATAACAAATATTAAATGCATGTTTCAGGGCCTTGAACTCCTTAAACTGCCAGCAAACTGGCAAAATTTTAGTTTACACCTATATAAACCAAGAATAACTCAGCTAATTTGCATGATGAAGTTGTCTCTGAATTTATTGAGTACTAAAACTAATAAGAAAGTAAAGCAATGACCTTCCACAGGCAGAAATTTCTCTACTTTTGCTCTAAGACTTCTAAAACATTAATGCAGCAGGAGAATATTCTCCAACAGTTATTATTTTTACCCTATGTTAATACCTAATAAAAGGTCTCAGGAGAATACAGGTAACTGAAGCTAGTGCAGCCAGAATCCTAGCTATCAAGCTAGTTGGTAAATTGCAATTTTCTGAGAAATTTTTCATTTTAAAAAAAAAATGTCTGATGTCTGAAACCGGACGATGTGCTGAAAAGAACACCATGACATACAAGCAGCTTATTGTACAGACATGATAGTTGCCTACAGCACTGAGCACGTTCCACCAGTGCAGCTCAACAGCCGCGTTTCTACAACAATCTCATGCATGTTCATTATAACACGTGGTATTAACGTAGGATATCACACCACCTAATGTTTAAAAGTTCAGTTATGTTCTTGTTTAGGAATACTAGTGTCTTCCTATAGTTTGCATGAAATAAATCAATAAAGAAACAGGTTTTTAAAATGGCAGCAAATAGTTACTGGGGGTTGTTATCATGGTTACTCAGTTAACTGTCATCGGGCACAGGCCTGAAAACCAATATCATTTTAAAACACTGTGCAATATGTATTGTGAGCAGATGCTTTTGAGAAAAATGCCAGAATTGCCTTTTAATCAGTTAATGCTGCTAGTGCAGTCATGTGCAGAATCACTAACTAAACCAGACTACTGGCATTTCCTGTAGTCTTTGTAGGCAGAATCATATCTGATTCATCACACAATATGGAAACAAGTACATCAAACATGGCACTTCAGGTGCATTTTTTGTTTCAAGAATGATACACTAACCTACATTATAACTAAGTATAACCAACAGTGCAATAGATAACGTGTACCTGAGCTAGGAGCAGTGGGGGGCTCCGTGGGTGATGTCTCTGGGGCTGGATGGGCCCCATCTGGAGGTTCATGCGAGCTGGCACTGGGGCTGTGCTCCTCCTCCCACATCTGCTCTGGAGCTGCGAGCCAGGTGACCAGAAACTACCCTTCATACACACACACAGCAGAGAACATGGTTCAGCAGCCACCTTGAGAACGCATATTCCTACCCACCATCATTTGTTTCAGCATGGTTTCAAAGCATCTGTGCCATGTCAGTCCTAAATGCCTAAAGTAACAGACAGCTGGCAGGAAAACCAAATGCTGAAAAAGCAAAAAAGTGGCAGTACTTTAACATACACAAATCTGAGTTCATTTTTAGTATAAATGTTGTTATTGTTGCGATTCCTGTTTTTCTCATAGTACTATTCATTTTAATTGTTGGACACACGTCTTTGGTGGGTCAAATGCTTCAAAACTTCAAAAAGTAAAGTAAGACTTCAGAAACATACATTATTGGGTTCCTTAAACTTTTTTGGACGCATGCTGTTTAAAATAAATGAACAGGCCTAAACTTTGGATGGGCAATATGGCAATATTTCTCATTATCATGATAAATTATGTCAAATTACTTTACAAGACCAGAGACCAACTGCATGTTTCATGTATAAGAGAGCACAATTAGGCATGGTTAGAATTAGTGTGGTGCAGTCGTTGTTGCAACTTATCAAACATCAGAAGAACAAAATATCATGAAACGGCAAAATATCACAGTATTATAAAGTTATATCTTTGCCACATTGCCCATACTTAGCAAAGACATAAGCAGGGGGTGGCCAGGGGTCACCCAATTTAAAGCAAGTCAGTGAACCATCATCAGTCACACATCATCATTACGCTTTGTGGTGGAAATCTGCCATCAAAAAAGTTATCAAACAGTTCAACGACTCTGATAATGCTGCATTTAATGATTAGTGTATCTTGCTGTGATAGGCTAATTTGCTTAGCAAACAGACGAGTGAATGCATGCTGTGTCCCTTCAGCTGTGCTGCTCTACACTATGAAGTAGGCTATGCAATAGTAAGACAAATTAACTACCAAAAGTTACTCTGCTAGAAACATTTCTCATGTTAACTAATTACTTTTTTACAGCTGAATACATGCATGAGTTGTAGGCTACTTTATAAAGTGTTGTCTGGCCAGCTTTCAAATCACTAGACTGTAGCAAGGGCAGCCTAAATGAATAACATCTATGAGCTGTTTATATGAAATGATTTTCTTATAATGAATGTTATGCACTGAAAAAAAGTGATGCATTTAATTTACTTGATTCAGATACATTTCCTCATGAATGATTAAAATACATCAACACAGTTTTATCTTTCAGTTCACTTTCAGCAACAGTTGTATGGGTGTAACATTTTATTCATGTGGAAACGATGAACAGATTTAGTTATGTACAGTGAAAAAAATCTACAGTACTGCTATTTTAATTAGGTTTTTTTTTCTTAGCAGTGTGTCACCCAGTAGAATCTCTGGGTCTTACCAGACCACCCCATTCTAAAAGTTCTAGCAATGCCCCCGATCCCTAACCTAAATATACATTTAGCATAACTTGAGAGTAGAAAGGTAACAGTGTCATTTTTAATCACAATACTAATCATATTTTTGGAAGCTCACACATATTTCTTGGGTCACATGGTAAATAAGTAAGTAAGCAAATTAGAAAGTCAGCAATTAAGTAAGTAAGCAAGTAAGTATGTAAGCAAGTATGTAACTAAGCAAATTTGTAAGAATGAAAGAGCGACTAAGTAAGCAAGCAAGTAAGCAACTACACAAGTATATAAGTAAGCAACTAAGCAAGCAAGCAATAAGCAAAGAATTAAGTAAAAAAGTAGGTAAGTAAACAAGTAAGTAAGCAATTAAACAAGTAAGCAACTAGTAAGTAGTAAGTAAACAACTAAGCAAGCAAGTTCATAAGCAAGTATGTAAGAAAGTAAGTGAGTAAGTGACTAAGCTAGCAACTAAGCAAGTGAGCAAGTATATAAATATGTAGCAGAAAGCAAGTGAGTAAGTGACTAAGCAAGTATGCAACTAAGCAAGCAAGCAATAATAAGCAAACGGTTAAGGAAGAAAGTAGGTAAGTAAGTGATTAAGCAAGTTAGTATGTAAGCAATTGAATAAGCAAGAAAATAAGTAAGTAGGTAAGTAAGTAACTAATCAAGTTAGTAAGTGAGCAACTGGCAAGCAAGCAAGCCAGTATGTCAGTAAGTAAGCAAGTAAGTGATTGACTAAGCTAGCAAGTAAGCAACTAGGCAAGTGAGCAAGTATATAAATACTTAAGTAAGCAAAAAAGTAAGTGAGTAAGTGACTAAGCTGGCAAGCAAGTAAGTATGCAAGTACGTAAGCAAGTAGACTAAATAAATAAGCAAGCGAGCACAGGAACGTTGAAAAGGGCTAAAAATGGCTTAGAAAAACGTCAAGTCTCCTAGTGAAGTGTCAGGTCTGCAGACTAAGCGTGAATAACACTACCTCCACACCTCACAGAAAAGTGTTTTCCAGCCCACACCATCTCGTGCTGTTTACTGCTCACTAACGAGCCCAAACACGCTGCTGATGAACACTAGACAGCCAGCCTGCTGAGAGCGCCATGCCTGATAAAGCGCTAAAAACACAAGATAAACGGACTAAAGCCAGATTGTGTAGAAGATCTTACCTTCAACACTGCACGCTGCTTCACCGCTGCTCCACTAACACATATCCCGCCTGAGTCCTGACTGAAGAGCAACTTCACACTGTCCCCTGATCCTTCTTCATGTACTCCCTTCAAAACAGCCCCAAAAGTCTCAGAAGTTCTCTTATGACAGGTTATGACAGCTTATTACACATGCTGCCCCTTCCTGACTGTACCACACGCGCTAACGCTCGCTCTTTTGTCTTCAGTTCAGCACCTCACTGCACTTCCACAGACCTGACAGCAAACACTTCCAAACAAAAGTTCCCAAAAAGAAGTAAAACACACGAAGAGTCCGCAGCTCGTGTCCCGTCGGGCTCTCGGCGGTGTTGAGGTGAGCTCTCTCAGTCTGAGCTCTCTCTCTCTCTTCTGTCCGTGAACTTCTCGCAGTGTTGTGGAGGCTCAGCTTGAAGACTTTGTAACAGCAGCTCCTCGGCCAGCTCAGGACTTCTCAACAGGAAATTACATTCAAGCCTGATTACTGTGTGCTCCCTTCAGGCAAGCAAGCCACAGCTCAGCCTTCACCGCCTCTCTGTAATCTATCATTACACTGTCCCAGAAAAAGGAATGACTTACTGCTGTGTAAACACGCAAACCACACAATACAGCAATAATCATAATAATAATAATAATAATAATAATAATAATAGTAATGTTCCTGTTTTTTTTTTGGTTTGTTTGTTTTTTTTTAAAAACAAATAGGATTAGCACTGTTATTTATTTTTGAACTTTACTATTTACTATTATGTCAGTTTGCACACATGCTTTTTCCACAGTGTTTTCAGTTATGAATGTTTACAGGAACTCATGTATGTATGTGTGACAATGTGCACGTATGATTAAAAAATAGTTATTATTATTATTATTATTATTATTATAAAAGGTGTATTTATATAGAGCTTTTAACAATGACCAAAAGGAAGGGTCTGGTCAACACCGTATAGTAAAACAATAACACAACAAGATATATATGGATAGAGGATACAATTTTATACTTAATATAAAATATTGAATATAGAAAAAAAGGAGAAAGACCAGTCTGTCATTGGATGTGGTCAGTGGTCTGTCATGAAGTATTTAGATTGAACAATGATGACCGAGGGCTACTGTTGGAGGCCCATCATAGTAACAATGAGAAACAGAGCTATGAAAATCAGTCACTGTTACCAGTGAAAACCAGTGACTACTGTTAGGAGTGAATCACAGTGAAAATGAGAATTAAATCCACAAACATCAATGACTACTGTTAGAAGCTTATACATGATCTGTGAGTGTGAATGTGAGAAAAGCTCAGTGTGAGGCAGGTGAACAATGTCTACGATTAAATAATCTATTATTATTATTATTATTATTATTATTATTATTATTATACATCAATTGTGTGTGAGCTATTTAAAGATCCCATCTCTTACATTCATTTTTTCCATGAGGTCCACTTGTGCTGTTTTTGTATACTTCTACACTAAAACTCATTTTTACTTGCCTGTTTTTAAATAAGAATTAAACAGGCTGCCTTTGCTACTGTGCCTTTAAGACTGACATATGTAAATGAGCTCTGTTCTGATTCACTGCCCTATAATATGCCTACTTCAAAAAGCAGTCCCAGCTCAAACACTTCTTATAACATTTGGGCAGGGCTTAACTGCTGTAGGCTAAACAGGCACATATATATATATATAAGTGTTTTTTTTGTGACATCAGTAAAACAACAAAGTCAAAATGAGCCATTTTTGCAGCTTTTTTTCCATATGTGACTGTATGTACTGATGAGTGAATGGTACACTGTGAAACTAATAGTGTTTGCATATTCCATCACACTTTTTGTTTTGTTTAAAAATAGAAGGAAAGTTGTTTTGCATGAAAGAGCCCTTTTATAATTGTGGGTGTATTTCTTGTCTGTATCATCAAGTCAGGTCAAGTCAAGTCAGCTTTATTGTCAATACTACAATATGTACAGGACATACAGGACATACGCAATTGAAATTGTGTTACTCTCAGACCCATGGTGTAGCAATAACATTAAATAGAAAGTAAACAGGAAAAGTGTGTATTTAAATAGACATTAAAAAAACACTAAACACTAATCATAAAATAAACACTAATTGTAGAAAAATAGAATAATAAAAAATATATAAATATAGAAGGTCCTGAAATGAACACTAAAGTGATATAAGGCACATACAGATTAAGGTCTGTGGGTATAAATAGTGCAAATATAAACAGTAGTGCAATTAGAATGAGCTTATGGAGCTGTTAAAGTGATGAGTGCATAACAGAAAGTGATGGGTGCGTAACAGTCCCTGAGAATGTCAGAGTTCAGTATTGGGGAGTGGGGGTCAGTAACCTGTGTTTGGGTCCAAACTCTGTGTGTGTGGGGGGCAGAAGTGGGGAAAAGTAGGGAGAGAGTTCAGCATCCTGACAGCCTGGTGGATGAAGCTGTCCCCCAGTCTGCTGGTCCTGGCTCGGAGACTCCGCAGTCTCCTCCCTGATGGCAGCAGGCTGAAGAAGCTGTGTAGTGGGTGAGTGGGATCACTTGCCATGCAGAGGGCTTTTCGGGTGAGACGGGAGCTGTATATCTCTTGGAGGGAGGGGAGGGAGGTGCCAACGATCTTCTCAGCTGCTCTCACGAGGCGCTGGAGTGTCTTGCGGCAGGACACAGTGCAGGCGCCATACCACACGGTGATGCAGCTGGTCAGGATGCTCTCGATGGTACCTCTGTAGAAGGTGCACATGATGGGGGCTGGGGCTCTGGCTCTTCTCAGTTTGCGGAGGAAGTAGAGGCACTGATGAGCCCTTCTGGCCAGTGATGCTTTGTTGTTGGCCCAGGAGAGGTCCTCTGTGACGTCCACGCCCAGGAACTTGGTGCTGTTCACCCTCTCCGCAGCAGCACCGTTGATGGTCAGAGGAGCATGCTGGGTGCACGTTCTCCTGAAGTCCACTACGATCTCCTTCGTCTTCTCAATGTTCAGATGGAAATTGTTGTGTCTACACCACAAGGCCAGGCGACTCACCTCACTCCTGTAGTTTGTCTCATCATTGTTGCTGATGAGACCCACCACAGTCGTGTTGTCCGCAAACTTGAGGAAGAGGTTGGAGCTGTGCGACATTAGAGTGAATAAGAGGGGCTCTGTACACATCCTTGGGGTGCCCCCGTGTTCAGTGTGATGGTGCAGGATGTGTTGTTGCCGGCCCGTACTGCCTGTGGTCTCCCAGTCAGCAAGTCTTACAGCCAGTTGCGCAGTGAAGTGTTCAGCCCCAGCCAGTCCAGTTTGAGAATGAGCTGCTGGGGGATGATGGTGTTAAATGGATGGTGTTGATAGAGTCTTTTTGTCCAGATGTGTGAGGGCTGAGTGGAGGGCGGTGGAGATGGCATCATCAACAGAGTGATTAGGTCGATATCATACATCTTTGTTGCATTTTCTATATATTTGTTGCAGTATCTATATATTTTAATTGTTATTATTTTAATTAAGTTAAAAATTTTAAAAAGCCCTCTCACTGAGGATTTATCTCAATATTCTGCACCATGTGATATCATTTCCTCTGGAAAAACATGCTTGAAGGACTTGAAGCTATGTCCTGTCATTCCTTTTTCTAAATACGTTTTTAAAAGGTCTGCTTACAGTGTTGCTCAAGTGCTGCTGTAGTGTGAGGAGGCTGTGGTAACCAGGGTATCTTTACTGGATGCCCTTATATCACTATTGATGCAATTTTATATCTATGATGGATAGCCATAGTAACAGTACTGGACACATTTATTCTATTTATTTTCCAGTCAAAACAGCCTTTAAGCATGAGTTATTTATTTTTCAGTATCAGAACTACTTTTTTTCCTGATGCTGAAAAATGAATAACTAATGCTTAACAACTAAATGTAATAATATTTTCAGTAATTAATGTGTCCTTTATTTAGCTTCCAATCTTTTTGTGAGACTTGCTTTAATTTTTTCAAGGAAATCTGCAGGAAGATTTTTTCATACCTCCAAACTTCAGTCTTAGAAGCTGGTTGCATTTTCTGCTTTTCACAACCTGAGATTTATCAGTCCATAATACAGTATTGCACATCTTAGAAGTCCAGTTTCTGTGTTCTAGTGCAAATGTTCTTCTTTTTTCTTTCTTTTCTCAGCAACTGCTTCTTAAAGGCTACACATCCTTTCAGTCACATAGTGCTGAGTGTGAAGGATCACAGTGGAAGGATCAGAAACACCTGTGGATGTTTTCAGATCTGAAGCAAGAGTGGAGCTTGATTTTCTCCTCTCTCTCAAAGATGAAAGCTTTAAGTACTGTTTCTCTGGTGGGGACAGTTTTGGTGGTCTATCAGGTCTTGCATGGTTAATAGGAGTCCCATTTACTCTGTATCTTTCCATCGTTTTTTGAAGTTCAGTGTTGGAAACTTTCCTTTGATGTTCCTCTTCCTTATGAAATATTTTGTACATAACCTCTTCAGAAATATCTCCTTTAGCCATTTAAATGCACTCTCTTTTGGGACAGCTTTTGTTGGGAGGACACAGCTGGAACTTGTTGGTTTTAAGATTGGAAGGATGGAAGAGTTAAATTGGCAGTGGAGTGCACATATATTAACAGTGGACTACTGAAATACTAAGAGATGTGATATTATACCTAGCACTGAAGGCTTTTGTATAGATTTTTGTTAAATACATCTTTCCTGCTTTATGTTCTGACAGTGAAAAATTGACTTCTACTTAATAGTCTTTTTGACTGGAAATTAGACAAGAGAAGGGGTGGTCTCTGACTTTTGCACAGAACTCGTTATCATAATTGCCCATCATGAGTATAAAATTGTACCAGTAACGATGTAAGGGGTTTGAATAAAGCAGTGGCGAACCATGACTATTAAAGCAAGGCCTTCAGTTCAGTTCGCCATATATGTCAAAACTACACTGTATGATAATACTAATCTCTGCTAGCTTTCATATGGAATATTTAGTAGTTTGTTAGTGCTAAGCTAACAGTGATTTGCATAAACAATTTTTGGCAGTTCTAGATGAAACATGCTCTTGTTCAGTTAGTGACATATCTAGGACTTCCAGAAGGCTTAGAGTTATTCTCACAAAATTGGTACCACCTATTGATAATGAAAACGTGACTGGTTGATTGGAAAATATTGATGATTACACTAATACCTCAGCCCAAATCAATAGGAGAGCTTAGCTATGTTTACCTAAATACCATGGAAAAAAAGAATTCCTGATTTTCCCATAAGGCAATGCAAGAATTTAATCTTTTGTTTCCATCCAAAACTCAGGAATCACATAGTATAGTACTGCAATACTTGCAGAGTTCAAATACAAGCATGATTAAGTATTTTTTCTATAAGCCTTCATTATCTATGTAAATCAGCTATGCAGTTAAGACACTAGAAGGTCTGGGAGCCAACAGCCCCACAAAATGCTCTTTTAGAATTAGAATTATTTTCATAAACATTACATCTTTTTATGCAACATTTGTAATGTAATAAACAATAGT